ATCCACAGTATGAAAGATTGAACTACTGTCTTGGTTTAAGCCTGGTGGACAGCTAAGCACCACCCAGCTGCTCTTTCACTCCCCCATTGTGTGACGGTGGCAAGGATTGGAAGGATAGAAGTGCAAGAACTCATAGTTTGAGATAAAGACAGTTTAATAGGTAAAGAAAAAGCCATGGAATTCATTCATCATTGCCGTGGGCAAGTAGGTTTTCAGCCATCTCCAGGAAAACAGGGCTCCATCATGTGTAACAGTTACTTGGGAAGACAAATGCCATCACTCCCAGTATCACCCTCTCCTCCTAATGTTCCCCCCTCCTCCTACTCCCCCAGCTTTTATCACTGGGTGCAACTTCATATGGTCTAGGTTATCCCTTGGGTTAGCTGCCCCAGCTGTGTCCCCTCACTACTTTTTGTGCTTCCTCAGCCTACTCACTGGTGGAACAGTCTGAGAAACAAAAGGTTCTTGACACTGTGTAAGCACTGCCCACCAGTAACTGAAACATAACTGAAACATCCAAAACATAGCGCTACATGAGCTACTATGAAGAAAATTAACTCCATACCAGCCAAAACTGGTAGAGCCACATCGCTTAAATAGTCTGAGACAACTCAAAAAGATAGATAAGGAAAGTAAGTTTTATACAGGAGTGAAAAATCAGTCAAGCTGAGTCAAAACATAGATCTTTCTGTCAAAAGGTTCAGAGGAGCAGCAAGATACTGCTCAGTTCAGCAGAGTTCACTTGTTCTTTCAGTGGTGAAGGCAGCTGACACAGCCCACTGCTCTTGAGAAATGCATGCCTGAAACAGAGACCTGCTCGTGAAAGCACCTCTCTAGTCACTAATTTTGACTTTGTCTCATTTTTTACTTGGCACAACCGCACTAGGTGTTCCTCACTAGGTAAACATTTCTGAAAATGTATCTAAGTACACACAAACTGCACACATTGAAAGACTCCCCAAGTCTCCTTTAAAGCTAAAGAGATTTTGATAAAAAAGTAAAAGTTTTCCTGAGCCACTACAGGTTTTGTCACTTCCACAGCATTCACTGAGAGATAAGCCCATTTGTGGCTACTGAAGGATCTGCTTCAGTCCTCATATCTCTGAGTCAGCAAACCACTAAGAGTATTCTTTTCCACTATGCATTTAACAGAAAAATATTTTTTTCTGTGGCCTTATTTACACATCCCTAGAGAGCAACTGCCAAAACAAGGAGAGCACTATAACACATATCTGAAGATGGAGTGGAAATTTACACTGTTTTCAAAGATCTATAATAGCTCTATGCTGAATCTCTCCATAATGCCACAAAATCTTGAACTGTTTCATATTAAATTCCCGATTGACTTTACATTGTTGATTTTTTTTTTTACCTACAAAATTCTAAATTCTGTTCCCATTTGATGAAATAATGTCATAGCACAAATAGGACAGATCCTGATGCAGAAGTATTAAATGAATTACTGTAGCCAAATGATTATGGCTTTCCAGGCACGGCCTTGGTCCCTGTAGAATACAGGCTTGTGCTGTCGCACCAGCCTCTTCACAAGATCACCACAGTGATGATGTCAGTGATGATCCCAACATAAAAAGGATGTGGACCTACTTGAGCAAGTCCAGAGGAGAGCCCCAAAGATGATTCAATGGCTGGAGCACCTCTCCTATGAAGACAGGGTGAGAGAGCCTTGTTCAACCTAGAGAAAAGAAGGCTCATGGGGAGACCACAGCCTTGAACTACCTGAGTATTAGTACTGCAAATAAGATGGTATTTTTCCAGATAAATATTCCCTTATACTTGGATGAACATTAGCAGTAGTTTTGCATAACTGAAAATCTCAAATACTCATTGTTTCCCACAGAAATAAGAGTCACTACTGATTTGAGTTAATCACATCCTACCAAATGATTTATTAAGCAAAAATAGGAGAGCAATGTTACAAAGAAGAAAGAACACCGAAAAACTGCCCCCAAGTCTTATTAAAGTGTATATTTCAAGCACAAAGCGTTTCTGCAATCTAAAGTTAGGTATTGTCATTAAACTGGTGTTGTTTAGGCTCCAGTGATGACAATACAGTTGCATTAATTTAGTCATGTTGCATATAACAATTTGTCATGGTTTAAACTCAGCAAGCCACGCAGTCTCGCTCTCTCACTCCCCCCCTTCCTCCTCCCCCAGCTTCCAGAAGGATGGGGAGGAGAACTGAAACAATGCAGCTCCCATGGGTTGAGATAAGAACAGTCCAGTAACTAAGGTGTAACACAAACCATTGCTGCTACCACCAACAATAATAATGGTAAGGGAAATAACAAGGGAAGGGAATACAACACCTCACCACCCACCGACTGATACCCAGCCCAACCAAACAGAGATCTAGCCTGTATGGGTAATTGCCCCCAGGTTACATCCTGGGCATGATGTGCTGTGGTATGGAATACCTCTTTGGTCACTTTGGGTCAGGTGTCCTGTCTCTGCTTACTCCCGCCTTTCCATCCTCCTTGGCAGAGCATGAGGCTCAGAAAGTCCTTAGTCAGATTAAACGTTACTGAGCAACAACTAAAAACATTAGTGTTATCAGTGTTGCTCCCAGGCTGAAAGTCAAAACCACAGTACTGCACCAGCTACTAGGGAGGAGAAAAATGACTGCTACTGCTGAACCCAGGACACCATTATTTATTCATTATGGATCAAATATAACAAACAAAAAACACCCTCTGAAGTGTTTTGTTTGTATCTACGCCTTTCTCTAGAGAGCAGCTCAACAGAACTGTGGAAGAACAGTGTCTTCAGTGCTTCTTGTAGGAAGAGAAGAAGGGAGAGGGAGGGAGAGACATCTAAGACTTCATTCCAGCCACACAATCTACTAACATTGTACAGGCAGAGGCAATTACATTTAACCTAGCCATGATACCAAACACCACTGAAGAAACACAGCAATATAAAACAGTAGCCAAATGGCTTTAGCTACCTTGAGTTACTGTGTTTCATCTGTGACCTAAAGGTTAAAAAATAGGATCTCTGTCAGCCATGACAAATATTGACTCTGGTTTTCCTTCTCCTCACCCTCACCCTACTTTGCACATGCTAAGACTAGGAATGCAATCGGTTTTCTGAATCTGAAATACCATCACCAGGAGAGATTTCCTCTTATCCAGTTAGGAGAACACACATATATCCTGCACAACCAGATGAAAAGATTCCCTGAAATATTTTTTTGTTCTAATCAGAACTTTGCTCTTGTTTGTTTAAGAAATAATAGTAAATCAGGATGACCTGAAACTTTCATAAATCGCCTCATTTTCTCCAAGAGTTTATTCATGTTATTTGCTTTTTGCCTGGTTGGTTGTTTTGGGTTTTGGTTTTTTTTTTTTCACTCTTGAGTCACTGTCTCTTTCTATACTTCCAAGAGCTTACTGAAATACTCTTTTGTTACTGAGGTTTTCTGCTCTGTGCAGACACTTTTAGAACAAGCTTAACCTTCTCCTTTTTACTGCAACAATAGCAGATGATAGTAAAATGCTGCAGATAACATAACCTCAGGCATAGAAACACGAAACAGTAAGGTTTTATGTAAACAGATAACAGGAGGTTTTAACAGTTGAAATATTAAGGTTCAAAAATATTTCTTCAGTTTTGAATTAGAAGGAAAATAAAGTTTGACAGAACTGCTAAAATCCTATCCTAGAGAATTTAAACATATTTCTGCTGTGGGAATTTAGTTCACTTTAAAGTATTAAAGAATGCAATGTCATTCAGATCAACCAATATTTCTACAAGGACTATGGAACATTTTGGTTTTTATCTGTTCTAAAGAAATCTATTTGTTGTCTCCAGGTTAGCAGGGTTATCTTCTTCTTTGCAATATTTCACATGCAGTGTTATATAACTATAAAGTAATTCATTTTTTTTATGTTTTTACCTGATTTGATCCTTGATTTTCCTCCAGCTTAAGTATCTTTGTCTCGTTTTCCCTCACATCTCCCTTGGACATCCTACCACCTTTATTACTTTTCTGTAAACCTTCACAATCATCCTGCATTCGTCAAGTTGTAAGTCAACAAGTATTAAAAAGTGTCATACCACACACCTTCAACCTGTGCTACTACTTCAGTGTAGTTAAAATTATTGTAAATGTTCTAGTCAAGCCCCCTACATTTGATTTGGAATTAAGAAAAGTTCTTCAGTTGGAAAAGTGAAATTTCAGAGATTGCTGGGGACGGACTCTTCATTAGGGACTGTAGTGATAGGACAAGGGGTAACGGGTTAAAACTTAAACAGGGGAAGTTTAGATTGGATATAAGGAGGAAATTCTTTCCTGTTAGGGTGGTGAGGCACTGCTCCATCCCTGGCAGTGTTCAGGTCCAGGTTGGATGAGGCCTTGGGTGATATGGTTTAGAGCGAGGTGTCCCTGCCCATGGCAGGGGGGTTGGAACTTGATGATCTTAAGGTCCTTTCCAATCCTAACCATTCTATGATTCTATGATTCTGGCAAAGAGGTGCAGTGCTAGTGTACATCTTTCCCTTATCCTTGTTATAGAACCACATTCAAACCATCAGACATCCCAGCTTCACAGACGAAAAACATCAGGTTACATGAGTAACATGCCATTACTTTTCAGTTAATTCCCTAAGTCTCCTTTCTGGTCAAATTATGCCCTGATGCGACAGTTTTCTCCAAGATCTAGAAAGCCGCTGAGGAAACAGATCAACTTCCTACTCCAGAGAAACCCCTGGGAATGGAGAGCTCCTGACACCCAGCTCCTCCCCAGCACTCTCCCTTATTATGTCAGCAATGCCTTTGGCCACCAGAGGAATTCTGTTGAGCAGCTGAAGTAGTTTATGTTGTTTAGAGCCCTTTTTCTCTAGGTCTGCTAAATTCTGAAATATTTCCAATAGATTTCCACTGACCTTATGTAGCAATTGTTTACAACTTTGAAAGGAAGTAACTGAAAGCATAGCTGTAATTTATTTTACCAGCTACCGCAAAGCAAAGCAAAGAATACCTGTGTGAGGATTTCAGTGCCTCCTGGTACCCTTGGGTCTTGTGCTTCTGCAGTCCCGTGAATTATCTTGAAAACAAAGTAAAAGATTCTCATATGACTTGACAGAAAACAGCACTATTTTTCTAGGTCAACACTCATAGAACAGTAAGTGTGTTGCACAGTTTAAGAACACAACAAACTGAGTGGTCACTTGAGGAGCTTCAATTGTCCAGTGTGCCTGCAATAATAAGCTCTGAAACCCACATTGCAGTTTATACTTACTATCCCAACATAAAGCAATGCTGTTCACTTTTTATAACCCAGAGCAATTTACCTAATCAGATACTGGGTAGTATCAGATGATGGTGTTTTAATGTTCATATCATTTTCCATCTTAGAAATTTGGATTACGTATCCACAACTACCAGAGCTAAAGTTAGAAGAGTTAATATTTTCCTATTCTCTGTATTTGGCACTGTGTGACTTCACTGTAATATTCCTTTTTTTTTTTTTAAGGTAAAACTGTACTTTGACAGAAAGAAAAGGAATGGGAAAAGAAAGAAAAGAAAGAAAATTGACCATCTCTCCAGCATCACAACACAGTGCTAGGAAGTGGAGCTCTTCAGACAATTGCAGATCAGAAATCTATCAGTCATCTGCTCACTTGGCTCTTCATGATTCTTTACAGCAGTAAAAACAAATCTCTGGAATTACACAGAAATCTAAATGCCCCATATAAGCCAATTCAAACTAAGCAAAAGTAATTTGAAGACACCACCTTGTTTCACATTTTATTATGCTCAACGTACATTGTAACTTAGTAACTCTGAGAAAGCATAACTTCTTTGGCTGGAAAAAGGTCAGACAAAGCTTTCCATGAATCATTTTATAGTGTGCAGCAAACTACAAAAAAAATAAAAAAAAAACACACAAAAGAAACAACAAAGCCCAACCCAAACAGGTAATTGTAAAGGAAACCTACAGCTGAAGCACTGTGCTCAGAAGCAGCTTCATGCCTTACATCTGAAAGACCCTCCATAAGTATACAATTTTACTGCATATTTCTGCATGTTTTAGATTTATTTTTTGTAAAATAACACACTCCTGCAAAACAGGAGTGTTTAAAGAGGCTTTTTGATAATTATAGACTTGATAGTTCATCCCAATTTGAAATAACAGTCAGGTTTTGTCTAAAAGAAAAACTTCAGACACATTTACATCTTAGTATAATTTCAGATACAATCATAACCCATTTCTTAAAAAAAAAAAAACAACCAACCAACCAAAACCCAACACAACAACCAACCCACTACCAACAAAAAAACCCCACGCTCCCCGCCGAAAAACCCACCACAAAAAACAAACTTCATCCCAGGACATTTCAAGTTTAAATTCCCATTTTACAGCCACAGTAAAATACCATCTGTTTCATTAAACCAGAGAAACTACTAAAATAATCAAGGTGAAAACTCCTACTGTAACAATAGGAAAAAGCAGGCTTCCCTAATTAGCTTAGATTTAGGCTCCATCCTTCGAACACTTACTACCACCTTGCAGTGGTATATACGTACAAGAACAGCCTCAGCCATGATTTCAATAGTATAATATGCTGCTTTCTCTGCAGCAAGCAAGGAAATTCAAAACAGAAGAAACCTCATCATTGTTTGCTTGACAGAAGTGATGGTGACAAAAACCTGAGAGCTGTTTTGACTTCTTCTCAAATATAAAATAAGGACTCATGTTAGTCCTTCCCACATCTGCTGGACTCTTACAAGAAGAAACACAGGTTAGGTAATACCACAAGGAATCCTGTTAAGGTACTAAATTCATTCTCAGTAAGCAGTGCAGATCTGCCTTGAGCTGGTGACATGACTCACCTCCATTAAGGAAGATTAGTAAAAAAATAGGGTATTCCTAAAAGCAGGGAGTAGTACCCATCCCTGAACTACCAGAAACAGCTATTCCTGATGATGAGAAACACCACATTGATTTGCACAGGCTGACATCCCAAATTTCGGAAGGATTAATTGATATAGACCATGTGTTGCATTGTCTCTACTATCTTGCTTCCTCTTCCACATTAACCAAGTCAGAGATATCAGTAAAGGCGTTCAAGTATCTTAAGTGTGTTATGTGTGCAGAATACTGGACACTGGTTTGACTTAGCTCATATGTTCCTGTGGTGTAGATTTTCCAGGGCTCTTGACAAGGAAAAATCTTATTTCCTTGCAATTGACCAGCTCAAATAATTATTATCTTTGTAATGGCTAAGAACAGGACTTTTAGACATCAGTATCAGCTCTTGATTATTAAAGATACTAGAAAGTAAAAATCAGTATTTAAAAAACAAAAAATAGCAGCACTTAAATCCACTGTTTAAAAAGCAGTATTGTCTATTGCTTTAAGAGCACAGTTTACTTTCCCAATTAACTTAATAAATAAATGCTTGAGAAAGGTTTTTCCACAAGACATCATCCCAAAATTTTCTGTCCAATCCATAACAAATTAATAAGATTAAACTTGCACATCACTTCTCCAAACACACACTTGTCAGTTTCTGTTTTTAATTCAGATTTAATGATCACCAAAACTGATCAGCCCTGGTTCACATCTTGTCTGTAGTACTGTTTTGCTCATACCTGAGTAAGCCCATTAGTAAGACATATCTGTAGCCTTGCTTGTAAATGACAGTCACTTTGTGCATATGATATTATGGTTCTCTCATCCCTTCTGAGAACACAGCCTTTCTTCTTTATGTCTCTGAAACAGCACCTACAACCAATATATTCACACTGGTGTTAGAACCATGGAGACCTTTATGAACTTACCTGTAATAAATCTGTCATTCCTAGCCATCCAGTCAAGCACAGCTGCATGCAATGCTTATTTTCTCTAGCTCTCTCATGTTTCTGCTAAGCCTGAAAACACTGCCCCATGGTTCATCATTTTTGTCATTGCAATGGGGTTCAAAACTATCCTTGGATTAGATGCCCTTGAAACAATATATATATAAAAAAAAAAAAAAGGAAGCATTCTTCTATACTAACTCAGATTGCAACAGTAAAGATTAAGGAAATTGTTCTCAATGTGTATCAATAGTTAAAACCTATAAGGATTACTATATTTGTATTCTACTTTTGACCTATTTAACTTCAACTCACTGTCTTCTTAAAGCAGGTCAAAAGCACTGGTTTGTTTTCATATCCATTCAAAAATAGAGACGAAGTCAGTCAGTCCATTCCAAAGCACATTTCTGTGCATCTGTTCATATACCTTTAACCAGGTGCAAGTGCCTACCACAAAGAGAATTTCACTACTTCTAAGACATCATTATCTCATTCAGTTCACAGCATAAACATTCTTTAAAACCACAAAGTCTACTCCAACACTCCTGTTTCGTTTACAATTCCAATAACCTGCAAGTTTCTTTACTGGTGTTCTCTCTCTATTTTTGTGGTCATAAATAAAGGATAAGGAACAGAGAAGTACATGGATGCACACACGTCCAAAATATAACTTTTAGTAGCAGAAAGTGATGCATTTGTAGTTGGCAGATGCTTTCTCCATGGAAAGGAACAGCCCTGCAGAACAGCTGGCAATGCTCCACAGAACACTTGTCCTCAGACTGGAACACCTGAGATTGTACCATATGAAAATGTCTCATAATTAATTTCAGCCAAAACCATAAAATAACCAGTCCTGCTACATGCAGTACGTCTGACAAATCTACAATTTGACATAGAAAGTCTATCTCAAAAATCTCTTTTTAATTAGAGATCATATAGCTCTCCTGGGTGTATTGAAGACCTACCAATTTGTGTGCAGCCAAAGCATTGCTTTATTTCCAATATAACACTGAATTGTCAGTGTCTGAGTGTCAGCAATTGTTCTGCACAATGCAACTTGTAAGGGATTCAACTATTCTGCATATTGCAAAGATTAATTCAAATGACATGATTTCAAAGTATAAAATTCCCAAGTTCTCCCTGCAGTTAAGAGTGACACTACTGAAAGAGGAGAATGTATTGCCATTGGCTTCCAACTCAATTTTCTCTATGCTAGACCATTTACAGTAAAGAGCAGAGGTAATTGCTAGGATGTGGGGTTTGGGATTTTTGTTTGGTAGGGTGGGGAGAGGGGGTGAAGGTGTTGAATACACTCATACAGGATTCTCCAGTATTCTACAGAGCCTGTGGATTTCCAATTTCAATTTTTGTATAAAAATATGCCTAAACAATTTTTTGTTATTCTCTCATGTAAACCATTAAGTCTACCACTTTTAAGCAGCAGAAGGTCAAAGTTAAGAACTGAGCAAAGGAAGTTTACAATGATTGATATCATGCTCAGCTTCTGCACTAGACAACAAATAGTAGGGAGGACTCCCAGTTGGACACAGAAAAGAACGAGTCTTAGAGATCATAATAAATAGTCTTCTTTCTGGAATCCTGCCATAAATTCCGATTTTGAGTTACCCTGATTGTTCTGTGGCTCTTTCAGACTCTCTGCTTCATTCAGATTTATCTTTTTTGACCTTTCAGTAAGCCTCAGAGTACAACTTCTCTTTTTTTATATGAATAAATATTACAAAAACACAGAGTGGTTGAAGTTGGAAGGGATATCTGGTATGGTCCAATGTCCTGCTCAAGCAGGGCCACCTGCACCAGCTGCCCAGGACCATATCCAGATGGCTTCTGAATTATCCCCAAGGATTGACACCCTCTGGGACTGGCCATTCAGCTAGTTTTCAACCCACTTCAGTATCTCTCCTGGTATCAGAGGCAGGCCCCAAGAACTCCCTGCAGTCTGTGACGTTGAAAGCTGCATCCTCCTAAAGCTCAGTCTATGTCAGTACCTCTATCGTAGCAGGGCAGAAACAGCTGCATCTGTTGGCTGTCTCATTACACTGACATCCCGTCCTCAAACTGCAGATCTCTTGTGGGTCTTGCTCTGCAGGCTTTCTGGACTTAAGTAATACTGGCAAAAGTCTTGGCCTCACTGGAATGAATAGGACCCTCATAACAGATTCCATCTGGATCAGAGTTTCAACACACATTTAAGTGTATGATAAACATAAGGTGAGCTTTCCA